TTCGCCAACCAACCGATCCTGAACGACAAACCCGAAGAACCAAATACTTAACACCAGCAATTAGTCCACAGCTGAAACCCGTTTGTGGGATCGCCACACCGGATTTGCAGTGCAGAACTTATTGCTAAAGGAAGTTACAAGACGCTAGACGTGCTCCGTTTTGGCGTCAGGTTTTGGCTCCACTGGATGTCAGCTACCACATACCCTTGGTATGAAAGCGACAATGAGTGGAGATGATCAAGTAAGGGTGGCCCAGGAATGCAAAGAACACTCTCCCTTCAACGACTACCCGCAGAGCCAGCAATCTGACCAGTGCCTTGATATACCCCAAGGGTCTTACTTGCAGAACCCTTGTTTTTTCAAGCAGTTATTGGAGAGAGTTTGCTGAGCAAAGGTGTTTCTTCCCGCTAAGTTATGCACACATCTGGCATAAAAGGCATCTTAATAATTTGCTTTTGAGAAATGTACGTTGAGACGCATTCACTTTAACTAGGAATGTCAAAATCACCCAGCGCGCCAGTGTGGATGTCCACTGTTAAGTGAGATTACTGGAATATTTCCACACTCCAAGTTCCAGCCCGGGTTTAATTGTTCAACAATAATAATGTAAAAAGCCACTTTTACTGTTTTTTTGAACATCATCTATTGCTTTATTTATTATTAACATTTATTATATGTTACGTAACATCATTTTTTAAGCGTTTTTGCATATATGCAAGTTGCAAAAACGCGTATTGGGAAGAGGCTGTCCATGTGTGTGCGTCTGTGTGTTCGCAATTTTTGTCACCCACTTCCAATTCGAGAATCAGCAAAGCTAGAAGGCTGAAACTTTGGTAGTATGTGCCCAGACAATGCGCGATCCTCCCATTTCAATACCATCCTCCGCGCACGTCTGGTGCCGCGTATGGACGCCTTGAAAAAATATGCAAATTTTTCAGCGAGAAAGGGATCTCGGCAACCAGACAAGGTAAGGGGCTGAAACTTTGCAAAGATAATCCCAGTGCACGTGTAAACTAAAAATTTCAAATCCAGCGCCCAGGCATGCGTGGTACTCACGTAAAGCCGGGAAATTTTGGCGGGAAAATCACTAACTCGGGGACCAGGGAAGCCAGAAAGCTGAAATTTTGAGGGAATGTTTCCTGTCCAAGCTTAAATATTCCATATCTAGCTCTCAGGTGTACGTGACCCTCAAGTACGAGCACACAAAAGATTTGGCGGGAAAATTACTCACTGATCAGCTAGACTAATTTCAAAGAAATACCGTTAAATGGAAATTGTTTACTTTCTGCAAAATCTGTGGTAATTTACGCTAGTGAGCGCAAAAGGTGGGTGTAAAGGAACAACATTCACGCAGTTAATGACCTGAGTACTTCAATTCTGGTGCAAAAATGCATGGTCGCACCGGCAGCCCTGGTGCGTTTCAACCTGGGTTTGAATATGATCCAGCTGTTCAGCAAGCAATATCCTCACCAAAAAATTCAGGTGCCGTACACGAGAAACACGTGTACCTGGCGGCTGAGTTTGAAACCTCTAAGTTATATTTGGACGGGGGATATTCTCCTAAAATTTCAATTTTCCAGCTTTTCTGATTTCCGAGTTAGCAATTTTTTCGTTAAAACTTTCATGTTGCCGTACGTGACCTGGGGGCATATATGGGGGTTGAGTTTCAAATCTTTAAGTTATACACAGGCTGGGAACATTCCTTTAAAATTTCGGCCTCCCAGCTTTCCCGGTTCATGAGTTAGCCATTTCTCCGCCAAAATATTCACGTGCCCGAACGTGAGTCTTGGGCGATTCTAAGTAATTGAATTTAAAATCTTTTGACTGTAGGTAAATATTGTAGATGAACTTGGCCAGGAAATACTGTCAAAATTTCAGCATCAAAGGTTGCGGGGTTGGCGAGCAGAAATACCCAGACGGGCGAACACATACAAGCATACACACACACACACA